CTTATTTCTATCTTTTAAGATACTTAAATGTACTGCTGCCTTTTTAGTTTAGCTAAAATTGGTAGGCATAGCAGTCTTGTGATCCTGTCAACAGCAGCTATTTTGAGTAATTTTTTAGGAACACTTATTTAAAAGGTAGCTTCTTTATATAGTTCATTCTCTTCCTGGGTTTAGAGAAGTCCTGGAGATATTTGTGTTTATATTTTTGTGCAATGTTTTTGTGTATTTTTTTCCCCATTCATGTAAGAATCTGAAAATGTGGGGAGAACTTCACAATAAATGTTCGTAATGCACTGTATTAGGATTAAAGGCTATATGCAGTCAGTGGAAGCTAAATTCATTGGTGGAATATCTATTTGGGTAAAGGAAAGTATAAATAGGGAATGCAGAAAATGTATGAGTGGACATCGGACAGAAAGACCAGTATGAATGCTGAAAGCTGTAACCTACATTTAATAGGCAAGTTCAGCTCTGAATCTGTTGATAAAATCTACTACAAAGTCTCTGGAATAGACTAAAATTACAGCATCAAGTTGTTTGAGCAGTGTCCATAAGTAAACACTTTAACTGTAAAATTCCCAGGAGTGTTCCTGAATAACATCCTAAATCAGATGGCTAAATAATACTATGTCATTTTACTTTGGGCAAGTTTTAAAAGGCAACTGTCACCTTACACCTAACCACAAGCGGTAGATTTGGAAGAGGATATATCAGGAATAGGATTATATTTTTGGATGAGCATGGGGCAGGGGCAGATGCTGTGATATCCTGTCCTTTTTAGATTTTTCCAGTCCTGTGGTTTAGAGAGAATGGGGTCAGGTGGAGTAAGTGCAATCCAGACTTGTGTTCTACCCCCTTCCCTCCCCACTCTTTAGTTGGGGTCCTTCTATTGTAGGGCAGTCCCAAGATCCGTTTAACCAATTTGTTAGGCATTAAATAATTAACTCAAAATGTTTGACCATTACAAATGTACAGTATTATGTTATGTCAAGGAACTTTTTAACATAACTGAAGTACTTGGTAGTCCTAAGGCTGTAACAACTATTTTTTATTTAACCTAAACTTACAACCCTAAATTTATAACCCATGGGATGATGTTAGATAGTATGGTTTTATGGAAATATTGTTTTTCTATTCTTTTTTCCTGGAAATACGTAAAATGGTGGAAAGCTTTGTCAGTTCAGAACAAGCAAAAGCAAACTTGCTAAGGAGTTCAGTCAGCTACACCTAGCCACTCAATAATCTGGAGGGTTTTCACCCTGCCGTCTCCCAGATGTACTTGCCTATGTCTAACAAAGACCATAGTAAAGAAAAGAAATTTGTGATTGGTTTAGTAACTTTTGTGTGCATATAGTAATTTCAATGTTTTGATTGCATGTTGTGATTAAACAATGCCAGACTGTTTCTCTGTGTGGTTTTAGAAGGTTGTTTGGATGACTGTCAATGAACGACAGCTTAGTGTAATATTAGATGGGAACACTGAGAGCAGGCATGCTCAAAAACGGGATCTTAAACTGTTTGCTGTGCCTTTACTGATAAGTCTGTGACTCCAGTTACAAGAATGTAGTCATGCCTAGTCAGGCCCAAAACCTAACTTTTGCAAAAACAGGGTTTGAGGGTTTTTTTAAACAAAGCTGTAAGACTAACAGAGCTATTTCTGTGACTTGCTGAATGCTGCTTTGTTTGGCATTGAAACCTATGTTCTTCCCTGCAGGGTTTCTGAAATGTTTACTGCATAAGTGTGTGTTGTATGAGACAGAAAGTGAAACTACACTAAACCATTTATTTACTGTAAAAAAGTTTTGAAGCCCAATTTAACAATCTAAAGCTTGTTTCCTCGGTGTCAATATGAATGTATACAAGTAAAAGGACACTTCCAATCCTATTAACAGGGTGCAAATCAGCAAGTAATTACAAGAAAAAAACAGGGACACTTAAATGATTTTAAATAGCTAATTAGTTGTTTGAGATTTGTAGGGAAGTGTTACCAATGTAGAGAAGTTCTTATTTACTTGCTGGACAAATGGATGTGTACTTCCCTTTCTAATTCTTATTCCCTTTGCAGGAATTGTAACTGGTGGGGCTGCTTTATTTTTCACCCCCCTTCTTCTGGTTTTTAGTCTGTTCCCATGAAGTTAATGCTTTATGCTGGGCCATATTTTTAGATCTAATAGATAGGCATGATGTTGCTAGGGAGAAGTAATGCAGGGAACTGGACATCAAACAAAACATCCCTGTAGGACCTAATCATGATATTCAAACTGATCGTAGGGCCACTTAAAGGAAGATGATCCTAACTTTTGACGAAGACACAAGCCTGTCCCTTAATCTGGGGAAGTGCGAAAGCACAGGTTGCTGAACGCTGGCAGCTTTGCATTTCCAAGATGGAGAGACTCGGGGCATGAAGTGGCTTTCCCCAGGGTGAGTGGTAGGTGTACACACCTCCTCCTGATCTCCCCATATATGGGCTTGTTCCATTGCAGCGGCTGCTGGAGAAGCTGAGAGTTTCTACCTGGCAACTGCTGGCGTGAAAGAAGGCTGCCTTGCGGGTGGGTAGAGGAGCGACTCGAGCTGAAGGAGTTGCCAGATCTCAGCTGGAAGCTCCACTTGACGCTAAGCCCTCTCTTCTCTGCCTGTGAGAGAATGAGAGCAAAGCGAACCCTAGTTGGCACCGTTCACCTGATAATCCTCCCAGGCCATTGCATTTACAGGTGAGACTGTTTCTGTGGGCTTCCGACCTTTCTTCATAGCCATGGGACACACATTTTCAGCTGAGTTGCAGTGAGTGCCCCACACTGTTGGGTGTAGTTAGACCAGATTGGGGCACCTGCACCAGGTGACAGACGGGGAGGGTTTGGTGCACACCTCAGCCTGGCACGGAGGGAGGGGCAGGGGCTGGGGTCATATATGCACTCCCCACTGCTCCTTGGCAACTCCAGCAAAGGACTGAATCCTGCCCTCTGAAGCCTAGTCGCACAAGCCCTGGCTTTTCAGGCTCTGCCTTGCGCCAGGCACTGGCAGGGAGGAGGGTCTCTGGGATGCAGGGGGAGGATGTGGAGTGGGCTTTTCTGCTTTTCTGCAAGGTGCTGCCTCCGTGCTTGCTGCACCCCTGTGTTCTCACCTTGCCGCCATTTCCAGGCCTCTGCTGCTTGCCCCACCTGGCGCTGCCCACCCAGGTTGGAAATCCCTAGTGTCAGTCCTCAGGTGCGGAGGCAACTAAGGTGAGAGCAACCTAGACAGGGATGGAGAGGGGCTTTTGTTTTTGTTTTCATGGGAGAGCTGTGTCTGTTTCCTACTGAAGCTGGTGTCCACACTTAGCTGCTTCACAGCTGTCTTGGCTTGTGCCAGGCCTGGCACCTAAGTTGAGCTTGGCATTCACCCCAGCATTAGTCACGGCTCTTCATTTTCTAGTCTCAGAGAGGGAGAGAGCTGAATGAAATATGAGCCTGTGTAAAATGAAGTAGTTAAAAACAAGGGAATTCAGATTAAAGGGGGAGGAGAGCACCCCTCAAATATTTTTAGGAAGGTAACGTTTGGGGTTAAGGGAAGAATTCAGGCCATTAACTCTTAACTTTTATATTTAGGCACATGGCAACATGAATATTGTCCCTGTAGTTTTAAACCATAGTCAAACCTGGTGTCTGTATTATGTGAAAGGATACATCATGAGACACTTGGGTATAACAGTAAAGAATTGCTGCTTTTACTAACCTTACATTCTTAAAGCAGTATTTTTATCTTTTTTAAAAATATTTTGATGGTAGTTTAATCATGCACTATATAATTATTCACTAACCCACACTAGTATGTCTGGCTGTAAATCAGAATCTTGTCACAGTCATTTTATAGGCTTAAACATGTTTTCCACTAAAGATGCTTGTAGAAACCTGTTGTGACCCTTATCTCTTAGTGTGACTAAAATACATAAGACTGAATTTGACATTCCCTTGTGCTTTATGTCATTGTAAGATAGATGTAAAATGCTACCGCTCCAAATTGTTAACGTTTTACACTTTGTGCTTGTATGAGTGATAAGACTATATAAGGGATAGGGCAATGGTGAATTGGGTCCATAGTAGTACTTAGTAGGCAACCATTGATCTTTCTGGATCATGGTGTATGCATGAGAGATCACCAAGTCCTTCAATAGGTAAGTCTAGGCAGGAGCATGGGTGAGTGGAGGCTGCCCAGACCCCCCACCCCCAGCTGTGTTGCTAAAACCTGTTTATTTTCTTCCCAATGTACTCCATGCTGTCGCAGCCTGGCGGTTTTAATGTCATTGGTAGGGGGGTCTACTGAACTTGAGGAGGTGGCTGACTGATTTCGCGGGAAGATTCCCAGGGCTAGCCACAATTTTTGTGGGTTGAGCACAATGGGCCCTCCCCACCCCCCATGCCCCTGATTGGCTAAGGGGCCATAGTAGTCCCGTCTCTCCCCATAGATTGCCACATGGCCCCAAACCATGGCTTAATCATCCTGATTAAGACTGGGGAAGCCATAAATCCACGTGTTAAGTGTGGATTAATGGCTTCCCTAGGCTTAATCAGTGTAATTAAGCTGCAGTTTCGGGCCATCCTTAAGCAGTGAGGTCCATGATTTTGGCAGGCTTGCTGCAAAAAAACAAAACAAAAAAGCCCCCCAAAAACAAAAACCTGGAAGCAGATTGTCTTGGAGCATGGATGGGGGCAAGGAAGAAGGGAGGGAGGCAGGGCAGGGTGGGGCTGCTTGCAGCCTTCTGCTACACTGTTGGCTAGTAATTAATTATGCTAGTAATTATGAGATTTGGGATGTAATATTATTTTCTATAAAGAGCTTTTCATGCTCAAAGACTCAAGTGTGACTAATCACTACACCTCTCTGAATTAAGTTGCTGCTTGAACTTCATTTTCTTACGTAGCAAAATGGAAAATTACTTCTCCAGAGCTGCTGAAAGATAGCAAAACTGTCAGAATTGGCAGCTGAAATTTCTCTCTTTGTATCCCATTTTCCAAATAATACTAGATTGGCTGTGTATTGATGGGGGCAAACTCTGGTCATGACTCACTTGCCTATGGTTCAAGGAAGCTTGTCTGTCTGCTGAAACATAACTGAAAACACTGAGTGATGGGAGCGGGGAAAAGCAAGAACTCCCAGAGGTATTTCAGACCAAAACTCAGTTTCATTCTTATGACCAGGGATCCTGGTTTTCTCTGTTTAAAAATCCAGAATTCTCTGATTTAAAAAAAATCCAAAATCTCGGCTTTTAAAAAGCCTAAAATCCACATTTTCCCATTATTAAAATACAGTGCTGCTGTGTGTGTGTGTGTGTGTGTGTGTGTGTGTGTGTGTGTGTGTGTGTGTGTGTATATATATCAGCTGAATGTGTTTTATTGCTTTAAAATTGTGAATATATCAATTTGGAAGCCTACCAGTGAGTGCCTTAACCATTATAATAAAATACATTCTAAATACCTATATATCTTAGCATTTGATTTTGGTTTTTTATCATAGAAAATCAGAGCTCCCCCTGCCCCCTTCTCTCACCAGGATAGGGGTCCAGTCCCCGCCCTGCTTTTTAGTGGCTCCAGCCCCCTGGTATGTGTGTAGGGGGGTATGGGGCAGGGCTGGGGTGTGGGGGGCAGAGGGAATGCCCAACTATAGGCAATGCAATAGGTGATATGTTGGGGGGAGGGAATGGGGAGGTACATACCCCACAGTGGGGCATGGGGCTATAGCCTTGTCCAACCAGCATAGGTAGGGGCTGCCTCTGCAGCCCAGCAGGTGGGACCCAGCCCAGGAAGGCGGAGTAGGGCAGTGAGACTTGTTGCTGCCACCACTGCTAGGACCCCTACAACAGCCATGTCACCTGCAGCATGAGTAATGGACCGGGGTGGGGGGCACGCTGCCCTCCCTCAAGCTGCTGGTAGCATAGTTGGTGCAGGGGTTGCAGTGGCAACAAGTCTCACCGTCCTGCTCCACCCACCCATGCCGGGTCCTGCCTGCTGGGCCACGGAGGTGGCTCCTGCCTATGCCAGTACAGTCAGGCTGCAAACCTGTGCCCCACTGTGGGCACACAAATCTGGGGGAGCCTCTATTTTGGCACATACCCCCTCAAAGCTTCTTCTGGTGGTCAAACATTTTGAGTTAATTATTTACCGACTGGCAAATTGGCTAAAGGGATCTTGGGACTGACCTCAAATAGAGGGGCCTCAGCTAAAGAGTATAAAATAAAGGATGCCCCAGGGCATTGTTTGTGCCCACCCCATTGTGTCATCTATGCCTGCTCCCCCCATTGACTTACCTTCAGGGAGCTGCTCTCTACCATGCTGCCTGGTTGCCATATGCATGTGTGTGCATGCACGTGCACATCGTGCCCCCTGCCTGTGATTGCCATTCTGCTCCGCCTAACCCCAAGTAGCCCCTTGGAGGCTGGAACTCTGCTAGCCTGCAATGGGGAACCAGTGGTTTCCTGCATTTTTCTCCTTTAAAGAAGAAAGTCCATGTTTTTCTACAGCAAACAGTTGCGGTGCACCGATAACGATTTTTTTGGCCTGATGCCGATGGCTGATCTATTAACGAGCTATATAGGCCTATACTGATCCAATTGCCAATATGCAGCCTAGCAGTTTGGAGAGCAGTGTCCAGCTGGTAAGTCTGCTGGGGGGGCAGGGGAGGGAAAGGGCATGAGGGGGCATATCAAGCCCTCCCCCTCATGATGAGGGAGGTAGTGGGGCAGGGGCAGGTGCTGCCCAGCCGGGGTGGTGCAGTGTGCAGGATAGGGCCATAAGTGACTCATTGGAGGGAGGCACGGGGAGCGGGAGAACAGCTCCTGCCACTGTGCACATCACCAGGAGAGGCATGGGGGGCACGTGCGTCCTGATCTGTGCGCGGGGTGAAGGTGGGCTGCAGCTTTGGGCTGTAGCCGGGGTGGCACTGGCCTCTTTCCAGCAGTGGGAGCTGGGTCAGGGCCACGCTTGGGGTGGGCAGTGCTGGGAGTAGAAGCTATAGAGGGGATACAGCGAATTCTGGGGTGGCTGTATCCCGCCCCATAGCCCTTCTCCCAGCACTGCCACCGTCCACCCCAAATGTAGACCTGGCCCAGGCCCCTCTGCCAGGAAGAGCCTGGTGCCACCCTGTCCCCAGCCCACAGCACCAGCCTGCAGTGCCAGCCCACCTTTGTCCCGTGCACAGCTCAGGGGGGCATGTGCCCCCCATGCCTCCCCCCGGGGGAGTGTGCACTGGCAGGAGCCGCCTTCCCAATGAGTCACTTGCGGCTCTATCTGGCACCCTGCCCTGGCTGTGCATTGCCTGCCCCTATCCCAACCCCAGTCCCAGCCCCACTCCCTCCCTCACCATGGGGGGCTGGATATGCCCCACCCCACACCCTTTCCCCACAACAGACTTTCTAGCTGTACGCTGCTCTCCAAGCTGCCAGGCTGGCTATGTGCATGCATGCAGCATTTATTAGCAACATTATTGGCCACATCAGCCAAAGAAAGCTGATAATGTCAATTTTTCTTTTATTGGTGCCAGTGCAATATGGACCAATGTATTGGTATACCTCTAGCAAATGGAAAATCTGTATCCCTGCTTATGGCACTGTCCTGAGGCATCCAGTCTTTATTGCCTAAATGGATTGGAGCTATTTCAAAGGAAGGTTTATAAAGGAAGTCAAAAAAACCCCAAAACCTGTGTGTGGCTAACCTCACTGATAAGCGTTATGTAGCAACTCATTGTTCATCACTTGATCCAGTTGTTGTCCCTTATGGTTTCACTGGAGACAGGTTTTGAGATGAATTATTAAATGATGTGGCTAAAAAATTTCTCTTGGAGGGCTGCTTTTAAGTCAGTTTGCTGAGTGTGTGCTTAGCTGCCAATAGCTATGCACACTACAGGCTCCATTAGTCAGTCCTTGACAGCAGCATGGGATTTTGTCGCCCAATAAGCAAGAATCTCAATGGATCTAGACTAGCTGTGGATGTTGTAATTTCCCATGCAACAATTTAGTTTTTGCTTGTCACAGGAGAGAGTTAAGTCTGGGCACTGAGAAGTAAACCTTCCCCTGTCCCTAGAAAGCCTGGATATTGAAGATAAAGTAGCTGTGCATCACCTCTTCTTTTGCTTGCTCTCCTCTGCCCTTTCACAGTTAGGAAGGATAATGAGTATACATTTTGCTTTTTAATCAGGCTGGTGCTGAGTGGTGCTTTCCATCTGAGAAAGAGGGAAGGAGACATGGACCCAGGTGTGATGGCTGGTCCTTAGCCTGGCTAGAAACACCTCTACACAGCAGAGAAATAGAATGCTCTTTTAAGACCCCAAGACGTTAAAATGGACATTATTTTAAAGATAGTTCGTCTTGGTCATTTAGCAAATCCAAACTAACTGGTTGTGTCCCTTCACAAAATTTAGTTAGCTTTGTTAGGATTTAGATGGACTTCTCAAGCCACAACGTGCTGACGGTCCCTGTCATCTTGCATTTTTGCTTTGTTTTGTTTTTAATATTACATTGGATGTTGATTTGTGTGATACGTGCCATTTCCCTGGTGGCAAGTTGTATCTTTTTATGGTAAAGAGGAAACAGGCCACAGTTGCCCTTTCATTGGGTAGTATTTGAACATCAGCACTTTCACAGGCTTTCCTAAATTTTGCATGATGCTAGTTAGTGAGGAGAGAGAAACTGGGTTTACTGGAATTATTGTTTGCAGGTGCCTCCTGCAGCTGGAACCAGACCTGGCTAGAGTTTGCCAACTCTCTTGATTTCATATATGACCCAGCCCTGGATTTGAATCCAGCTCAGGAGGGGAAAGGTTAGTATAGCTGTCTTTCTCTTTGCGGCTGTTTTAGAATTGCCCATAGAAGGCACAAATCATTTTTTTGTTTCTGTTGACTCTCCTTTAAGTACACTTGAAGAAAAATTCCTCTTCTCTAGCGCATTCTCTACTTCCTGTCTGCTTCCTTATGTTTCTTTTAGTTCTTTGAAAAACATTGGTACTTAAATTTTGATCTCAAACTTTAATATAATCTATAGAGTTTAGGCTATAGCTTGACTAATAATCGTAGCTAGGAAGTCTGGACATGTGTGCTTCCTTTACTATTTTGTTAGGTTTGGGGAATAGAAACTTATTTTCATGAACCTACATAGTGCCAGGAGCAAGGAGCTATGATTCTGATTGGAGACTTTGGCTGCTACAGTAGTGTGTATGTATACATTTTTTATAAAATATCATTTGAAAATATTGTGACTATATACTAAAATTTTGTATTATGCTTTGGGCCAAATTTCTCATTTCTATGTAAGTGTTAAAATGGGGGGTAGTTGGCTTTCACTTGGCTTTGTCTAACTTTGTTTTTGAGCTTTTGAGTTTTTACGTTATGTTTAGTTACTTTTTGAGACCGATCCTGGGGAGGATTACAGCCAGAGTGGTGGTAAGCAAGGGAATTTAAATTGTTTTGTTTTATTGGTGGTGGTAGGAAGCTGCTAGCCAGGCTTAAGCAAATAGTTAACTTTTGGTCAGGGGTGTACCGATAGAGATTTTGAGGGCTGATACCGATATGCCTCCTTAAATATCGGCTATTGGCTGATACCAATCTGATACAGGTGTCTCCAGGTGGTAAGTCTGGTGTGGGGGAAGGGACTGGGGGG